GTAGTTTTTTCTTTTAAAAAAATAGAAAACACCCTACCAAATATGTTTTATAGCTTCTGTTTTTTAAAACATATAAATCCTAACAACACCAAATGCGTCTTCTAAAAACTGAAAACAGAAAGCAAAACAAAGACAAAGTAGACTGAACACAAAAACAAAAATAAAAAAAACAGTAAGTGATCCTAAACATGGCCTTAGTTATTAACAACTGAACAACACCAAATGCGTCTTCTAAAAACTGAAAACAAAAAGCAAAACAAAGACAAAGTAGACAGAACACAAAAACAAAAATAAAAAAACAGTAAGTGATCCTGAACATGGCCTTAGTTATTAACAACTAATCACTTACCGACCTAAAAAATCCGACATGAAATGGTCCAAAGAACTGCTTGAAGAGGAAAAAAATAGGATGGATATATTGTGAAAGAAGAAGAAAAAGACACTACGAACGCATCACAATAACTTGCAAGATTTACATTTTGACAGAAGAAGTTTGAAAAAATATAATTCAAATTATGGTAGCTCTCCCTGTTAACTTATTTTTCAATGGATAAATTCAATTAATAACGTAAAAAAAAAAAAAAAAACAAAGAGGGAAATGATTTTGTGATGTTTTGATCTAGGCTCACCTCACGTTCTGAGGTTCATGTACTAAATTCTCAACAAACATGAGATGTGTTCAATCTATTTAATAATTGTATTGATTTCTCATATGCTCTTTTTTGACCTTTGTTGCTTTTAAGGGAAAAAAAAAACTATGTTTTCATTTTTAATTATATTCTGATGTCTAAAATTCTTTATAGGTTCCCGTTATTGTAGATGACAGTGGTTGTAATTCAAATGCAGATGTCAATTTCCAATTTACTGGGTGCGTGGCTTATTGCTATTGCTTCAGAGAATGAGAACCTTTTATTTTTACATCATTTTTGTGTTTCTGGTGTTACTTGTTGAATAAAGCTGATGGTACTATTCAATTTATGTTTTTTTCTCGTTTTCGGGATTCTTTTTTTCTGTAGGTTCATGGTATCAGGTAGAGTTTTAGGTGCTGTTGGTGGAAACAGCTGCCCCAATAAATCTGGAGGACCTTCAAATGTTAAAATTGAGCTTCTGTCTATTCAAGACGATGTCATTGCTACTTCTTTCACATCAGAAACTGGACACTACTCATTTACGAACATCATTCCTGGTCTGTCATTCACCCTGTAGAGCTCAATTTGTTTCTCTTTTCGTGTAGAAATGGAAATAAAATTTCAGGTTAGACTGCATGCAATGTACCTATATTTTCTAAGGCGATGATAGGTTGATTTCATTCTAAAAAAAACCAAGGAAGTTCCTTATGTTTATGACACTTAGCGCCAGAATACTTCCGGTTTGAATTCTACAACTGCTCATCTTGAGTGATTTTTTTTTTTAAAATTATACCCAGTGCAGCCAACTATGCTCTGTGATTCTGTTGAAAAAGGAAAAATGCAATCGGTGTTTCCTCACTTCTCTCTCTACCCTCTTTACAACTGAAGCTTGGTTTAGAATGTGTGGTAGGGGTTGCTAACTTGCTGACTAACCAATCATCATCGTCTCTCTCTCTCTCTCTGTCCCCACCCCAGTGGTTTGATTGGGTTTGTCTGACTACCTCGCCCTCTCTAGCACTGCTAGTTGTACTTGTTTGTCTGACTACCTCGCCCTCTCTAGCACTGCTATTTGTACTTCTCATTTCTCTCTCTCTCTCTCTTTTTCTCTCTCTGACATCGGTACAGAGTTGCTAGATAGTGTTTAAGTATCAACAAATGAGGTACAGGTGTTTGCATGGAGATAAAGAGGGGGAAAACTGAAAACAAAACGAGATTTCAAGGCTATATAGGGGTAATAGCTGCTGTCCTCGCAGAAAACAGCCAGACGAAGGTTTTTGGCTATGATGTCGAAGTTTATGGACGTTGAGGGGGACCCACAATTTATTTCAGAACAGACTATAGGAACATCACTCGCAAAGAGAAAATGACACATTACTTCTGACAAATTTATTGAACCAAAAAAATCAAACCAGAAGTTACAAATAAAGTTCTAAACGACATATTTATAAACATTAATAAAAAGTGACTCCAATTCTACTAATTAAGGTAATTAAGGACTCGAGGGGACCAACCAGCGTTTGGGAGCTAAAGTTATTTAACTGCCCTAGGAAAGAGCCGACGACCCATCTCTTTTGTGTCTCATGTCTGTCCGGGATGGATACCCACCTCATTTTCTTTGGGTTGGAGGGGCTTCACTTTCTTCGTTGGAATATTTGAATCCTGGTAGTACGGCGATAATTTTGCGACTTTGAATGTGGTAAAAATATTATAGCAAGTCAATCTAGTGCACAGTATCATTGATCCTTTTGAATATTTTGATGGGAACATCGATCATGTTATGGATTGCACTATGGCTACGATAATGTTGAATTTGATTGGAAAAGAACTAGAAATTTATAAATTTATTAAGCTCAAGAAAAAACTTGGGAGCCTATTATTGATGGTGATAGTTGTGTGAATGTTGTGTTGAAGTCGACTATTAATTGCATGAATCTAATACCTCAATGTCATTTACAACCATATGCGGTAACATGGGCAGGTTGATATTTTTATGACCCAATTGGATCTAGTTTCTATTCAATTTAATACTGTGCTGATAGAGCCTGGCTTAAATTGTTGTTCATGGATTTTTTGTTATATTATTCTTGGTAAAAAAAGGTTAAATAATTTGGTTGTCATTTATTTTTGTAGGTCTAACATTAATGTGCTGAATGTTAATTATGTTAATTGAACTTTGTAGGTCTAACATTAATGTGCTGAATGTTAATTATGTTAATTGAACAATGGTTGTTGTTAAATCTTCTAAATATGTTAAACTAACAATGCATGCTAATGATTTATTTAAAAAGGGATTTATTAGGAAAAGTATGAGTCTACACCATCTCTGTTGAATTATTTTCTAGGAAAGATGGTAGTTGACATATGCTTGTAGATGGAAAGCAACAACAACTAGCCTTTTTCCCATTAAGGATCCGCTATGAATTACTGAATTTAAAATACATACATATTTTTTTTACTGACTGCACTTTTTGTTGCAGGAGTATACAAATTAAGAGCTTCACATCCTAATTTGGGAGTTGAACTTAGAGGTTCATCTGAGGTATGAGATGTGACATTGGCTCTATATGTGGAATTATGTGTCGATTAGACTAATATGATTCACTTTCACTCTGCAGGTCAATTTGGGCTTTGAAAATACGGTGGTGGATGATATCTTCTACGTGCCTGGTTATGATCTTCATGGTTTTGTAGTTTCCCAGGTACTGCAAATGAGCACAAAGACAAATATGCTTTGATGTTAATAAGGTTCTAATTTATTCATTCATCCATGTATTGAAGTTTTTGTTATTTCACGGATGTTATAATTACATGCTGTGTTCTTGTAGGTTTGTATATCTCTCTGTAATAGAAGCTTGTATTTGCTTTGCATGTTTTGACTGATCGTAGATTATGCCAGTCATTTTGAAACACTTGACAAATTTCAATTTCTTACGGCTGATCAGGTGGAGTGTTTCAAAGGAAAAATAACTTGTTGCAGTAAGGTTATTAGCAAGATTGATCTTGCTGGTTTATTTATATTCTTTTTAATGGTAAAATATTTATTGGGCAAGATGGAACGGGTTATACAAGAAAGCTGTCAGACAACCATCTTTTTTTTGGGTCAGAGTTCACTTTGAAGAAAGTTTAAGATCAAATATCTTGCAATGGTTTACCGTTTTATGGGAAATAATAGGCTTATGTATTAAGATTAGAAGTGCGTTGAAAGTGATCCCATCAGTAGTGTGGTTTTTTAATATAGCTATGGTGATCTGATCATTAAACCCAGTTTGCGCATGATGAATTATCTTTGTTGTTGCAGGGGAATCCTATTTTAGGAGTCCATATATATTTGTATTCAGATGATGTTTTAGAAGTGCATTGCCCGCAAGGAGTTGGGAATCCTCTCAGTCAGAAGAAGGCCCTTTGTCATTCCATATCAAATTCTGATGGAAAGTTTACTTTTAACTCTTTACCATGCGGTAATCTCTTTGCTCTCCAAGTGCTTTTCCGTTGTGCTTTAACTCTATTTTTATATTTGTAATTTGTAGATGAACGCAATCTGTCTGCCATTGTTGGAGTTCTACATTTTTTTGTCTTTGATATTCAAGTGTTGTATTTTATGTCAATGCTAAATCAGGATTATATATTATGCCATTTGACACTTAATGACCTTGATTGTATTTGGCAACGTTTTGCATTGTATTTCTTTCCACATACCCACGACGCTGTTGAAAATGCATGTTACAAACCCATACCTCATATGCAGTTTCATGACTAAAAATAAAACTCATGGAGTAGATTGTCAGACCCTAGCTAACTCTCCTTGGGTCAAACAGTGGCGTAGCAGAGGAGGGTGACTCAGTCGAATCCAGTTTTCACCAATACTCCTTATTTGTAAAAAAATCAGGTTTAAGTGAAGAATTTTTCACTAATTTGTGTCAAGAAAATCATTATAGTTCAATTCATCAAATATTCATTTATATCATACACAGGAATCATGGAAAAATAGTCCATACATAATATACATAGCTTCTGAACATTTAAATATAAAGCGTACATATCCCAAAAGACTTCTATAATCTTTCAAAATTTTTAGGTTTAGAAAAACTGTACAATAGACAAAGCATCTGGCTAACGATCAACCTGCTCCTTATCCCTTCTTGAAAAGCAATATAATCTTATTGGATAAGCTACAGACTTAATGAGATAAACAATGCTAAAATAATATTCAGTTTATAAAAGAGAAGAGATTATGTGAAGACAATACAAATAAAAAGAGATGCTTAAAAATATAGAAAATATCACTAAAAACAATAAAGTAGTTGGCAAAGTAATTAAAATGACCATTGACAATATTTTATTCATCACTTGTTACGATGTCATGCATGAAATTTTTTTTATGCGTTTTTATTCTTATTTTCCACGTTCTGTCTTAGAAATGTCAATTTATGTATGTATAGACTTTGGCTTATTTTATTTCCTCGGGTCTTCATCCTGCACATCAACTATTATAACTGCTGATAAATATTGGTCATTTGACGATTACGTCTATTGATATGAAATAATCTACTATTCTCAATATTAAGAATTGAGAATTCAATCATATTTCTTTCTAGATTTATCTCATCAGAATTTTGCTTGTTCTATATTGGTCAGCAGTAAAGCAATCTACCTATTATAACACGACATGTTCTCGATCTTGTTTATCTGTTATAATCATTTTATACGCATTTAATTGTTTAACCAAGATGCACTTGCAACAGTTGATTTTATTAAAGTGCTTTCGAAGTACAATGTAACAGGTAAAATCAACAAGTTGCATTTCATCTTATTTTTCTATGAAAAACTATGAACTGGAAATACGCAGGTATCCATGTGAATCACTAGATTAGGCTGCAGTGATAATCATGTGGAAGTTGAATGCCAATTACATAATAAGGATTATACTAGTGAACGTTAGCAAGTATGATCCTATAAAACATTTTATTTTGCCTCTTAATTTAACAATCGATTATCTCACTTGAGTTTTTAGTTCAACCTTGCTGCAAGACTTTCCCTTGGAGGCTTGGAAAACATTTTTTCTATAAATTTTAGAAATTTCTTAAATTAAAGTTTAATTCAACCCGAACCTATTTTCAATTATTGCTTATACCTCAAAATAATTTCGCTGCATTCAGTCCTAAATTCTTTTCTACTATCACACAATCAAAGGAAACCCTCTTTGTATTAGCTGTAGTTCACAATTAATAGGAGCAGCAGTAAAATAATATAAAAGGCGTTTTTGTAATCAAATTAATTAATTACATGCATACACTTACCTCACAATCTAACTTCAAAATTCATCTTTTGACACTTGAATTTCATCTTTATCGACTCTCACTCAAGAGCTACTGTTATGACCGGCTTGATGACTTGTATTAATCAAGTCAAGAACTCTGGTCGGACGGTATTAACTTTTTCTTTAATTATAGAATAAATCATCATAAATTTCAATAATTAAAAAAGCCACTAAAAATAAGAAAGTCTTACTAATTTGTAATCGAACCCAATCAAAACAATTTCATAGTCTAAAAGTAAAAAATCACAATCCAAACAATAATAATATAACATCAATTAGAAATAAGTAGTATTAGATACTAGAACCATAACAAGCAACCTATTACCTAGCATCAGTAATCTTCTTCTGGTAAAAAAATCTTTTATTTCAGTCATATCAACCTAACGTCTTACCTGAACAAAACAATTAATTTAAACACTATGCTTGCGACAATTTAGTTAAAAATTATTATCTTATTATGCTTTAAATTAATATGCAAATACTATGCATAGATGTCAAAAAATTGTGATTCATTAATTAATCAAATTGTATGCTTTCATTTTAAAGTAACCATTCTTGTTTTAATTTAAGTATTTATATTTTTTTAACCTTTTAAAGAATTATATTAGGATTACCGTCATACTGATAGTTATCCTCAAAAAGTTGTACACGTACGTACTATCAAAAGTTTGTATCTATAGGTACCCTCGAGGGTACATCTTTACAATTTCTTTTTCATTTTTCATGCACGGGTAAAATGGCGTTCTTAAGTAGTACCATAAAGGTTACATTCTAATTGATTTAATGTTTTGCATTTGAGAAATCCTTTTCTGTTTCATTTATTTCTATTTCAAAGATCCTTTAACTTTCAACATCCATATAATTAGAAATGCAGTTATTTTTAAGACAATTATTCTAGTTATTTTTAAATAAAGCATTAATTTAATACATATAAGAAATCAATTACTCCTCTTTGCCTTAAAGGAACTCTTTAAAAGCTTAATCCTTTGCTTAATTCTTCTTACTATTATCTTCTATTTGACCCTACCTCTTTTACGAAACCACGATTCAAAACACCAGTTCGTTGAATCAAATTTTAATTGATTTATTGTTTTTATATCTACTTAATAACCTTTTAGTTAATTAAACAAAATGTCATATATAAATAAAACACCCAAACTATTAGTTTTCCAAAATATTGCTTGGATTGATATTTCTTCACACCTTATCTTCCACTTATGATACCTAATTTTAATTCATAAATATTTAATGTTAATATCATACCGTATTTATTTAATTAAATTTATATAATTTAAAAAATTAGACCCTAACATCTACCTTCCAATGTTTTGGTCTGTCCTCCTTCCGCAAGAAACTTCTTTGCAAGTTGGCTGTTTTTCTTAATTTAATTGTTCCAAATCAAATCACTGATATTCGTTAAAAATATTTTGAAATAAATTTTAAAAACATCTAGTTAAATAAATAAAAATTTCTTATATAATAAAACATACCCAAACTAAACAAAAAGAAAAATGGTTTAGAAATGATGAAGGATTCCTCTTCCCCTCACAAACCAAACAAGAAGAAAAATCAAGATTTCCTTTTCCTGCTGTTTCTGTTACAACTAAATCAAAGTCTTGTATCCCATAGTGCACATCTAAATATGATTTTTTATGATGAAGAAGATTGTTTTATCTTTTATTTTTTGCTTAACATGTTTGTGCAAGTTAATTCATTTCATTTCTTAATTACTTTGTGGTGACCAGAGGCATGAAGGTGTTAGAAATGTATATTTTGATGATTACTTGAACACTCACGAAATTCAGATAACTGAGAATCTTTTGTTTCTTACTAATCATGCATTTCTTTAAATCTAGAGTTAATATTATTTCTTCTATGCTTAAGGGGTTTATGATCTTCTGCCTTACTACAAGGGGGAGAATACTGTATTTGATGTTTCCCCACCTTCGATGACTCTAACCGTTGAACATCATCATGTTACAGTTTCCCAAAAGTTCCAGGTATGCCATTCAATTAGAATTAAAACTTCAATTTTTTAGCGTGATTTAAATTTTTTTTTTATAATATTTTAGTTTGAAACCTTTTGGCCATATATTATTAAACAGCAGGGGACCTTGTTTAGTGGTGAACCTTTATTATGTAGATGTGGGCATCATTTACTGATTGCTTAGTTGCTACCGTTGGAAATAGTAGAAATCTGTTGTTAAGTTAGTAGTTTTTTTGTGAAGTTAACAAAAAAATGCCATGTGATTTGACTAGACGGCATTGTAATTGTTCATAATGAACTATCTCTTTTTGGCAGTTTGGCCCACTTTTGGTGTCCAATCGTAAACATGTTTTTTGCACGCAATCTTACTTGCATTGTTTAGGTGATTGCAGGGAATAAACTAAAGTTGAAACTTATGCCTGATTATTTACTTAAATTTTTATGGATAATTTACATTGGAAGCCAAATATTATGAAATCAATATACTTTCTTACAGTATGAAACTACGAACAAACTCCCTGACCAATTCATCTGTTTTTAGGTTGTTACATGCTTCAATTCTCATTGAACAAATATAGAACCGGACATAACGGTGTGATTAAGCCTATGTTTTTTTTTTTGGTTGATACTTGTACTCAAAGTGCTCCCACCCGTAAGATCTGATTGAAATGTGACTATTACATCGAAGCTAGTCTGTATTGGTTTGTGGAATTCTGTCCTTGTTAGGTGATCCTAACCGCCGACCATGTGGGCACCACATGGTAAATATGTTTTTCTCAATATTCAGTTTTATTTTATTTTATTATGTTTCTTATTATGTTATATGTTATTTTTTATTGTTTGTGTAGGTTTTGAGTAGAGCGGAATACTCTATTTTTATACAAATGTATAAATACAACTTACAACAATTCTAAAATAGAAAAGATATAACACCTATATCTCAATTTCTAATAACTATTCGGAGATAAAAGGAAAGACATAAAATAAGAAATACATAATATAAGAAATAATATGAAAGGGAATAAATCAATGCTAATAACTTCTGACACTCCCTCTTAAGTTGAAACATAGATGCCGATCACGTTCAACTTGGATTTGAAATCATCAAATAATTGGCGAGGATGATGCTTAGTGAGATAGAACTTGAAGTCTGCATCCCCAAGAACTTCTAGGGATACTTCTAATTGACTGCTATTGTTTTTGACTGTAGCTTCTGTAGTTTCTGTAGGTAGGTGGAAGGCTGCTATAGGTAATGCTGTAAGGAAGTTTGTAGGGAAGTAGACATTTTACAAGAAAAACTGCTGGGCATGACCTGCAAGGAAAATAATTTATGTAGTTCCTGTAGGTAGTTGGAAGACTGCTACAGGTAATGCTGCAGGGGGGTTTGTAAGGAAGTAGATAACCTACAAGGAAAGTTGCAGGGCATGAGTTGTCGCAAGAAAAATCTCTGGAGGGGCTATCGCAGGAAAAAGCTTTGGAGGAAGTTTTGCTGCAAGAAAAAGCTCCGGAGAGCCTACTATAAGTCAAAGCTTCGAAGGAGGGTCTACTGATGGAAAAAACTTTGGAGTAGGGCATGTTGCTGGAAAAAGCTCCGGAGTGCTTGCTGCAGAAAAAAACTGTGGCGACAAAGGAGAAGTAATGAATGTGTCATGAAAGCCATTTTTTTGGGAGACAAAAAGAAAGAAATAAAAATAGAAAATTAATCAATCTCTTCGAATAGAAAAATATTAGGCCGGAGACCAGACACAAATTTGCGTCCGGGCACTAATAAAAGCTTGCTGCGTGAAGTACTTGGTCCCACCAATATAAAAATGAACCCGATCCCAGCTCAGGCCTTCGAAAACGCTTTATTTTGTCACGTCTAAGCTTTATTTTGTCAAGTTTTTCATTTATGTTTTCGTCAGCTAGGGTTTTGCGTCGCACCGATGGACGTCTTTCTCTACCGGAAAATGATGATGGATTTTAAAAATATTGGCGAGATGTTCGAAATGGAGGTTAGTTTAGTTGCGCTTGAAATTGTGTTATTGAGTATTGTTCTTTAGTTAATCTGGTGTTATAGTGACATTACTAGGGTGTTTTTGGTGTTTTATACTTGAGTTATTCTGATGTTCTTGAACTATCTTTGAAGATGTAATTTTTTTATTTTATTGACGTGGGACTGTAGCACTGTTGAGTTGTTATACTGGTGTTAATTTGGTGTTATTGCTGTGTTATGCTGGTGTTATTTTGGTGTTATTGTTGTGTTATTGGTGTAATAAAGTTTTTGATTGTAGTGATTTGTTGTTGTTGTTTTACGTTGGCGTTGTTATGGTGTTATTTCGATGCTATTGCATTGCTATTACGGTGTTATTTGATGTGTAATGATATGTTTTTATTGAAGTGGGGATGTGGTGTTATTGTAGCATTTTTTGGTGTTACTGTCGATTAATGTTGTGTTTTCCTCGTGTTATTGGAGTTTAGTTGCTTCGTTTTATTCCGGTGTTATTGCAGAGTTATTTTGGTGTTCTAATATTGTTATTCTGATTTTATTCCGATGTTATTGTGGTGTCATTGAATGTGTAATGTTACGTTTTTATTGATGTGTTGATGTGGTGTTATTGCGACATTTCTTTGGTATTATTCATGTGTTATTATTATGCTTTTCTGGTGTTATTGGAGGTTAATTGCTTGATTTTATTGGGGTATTATTTTGGTGTTCTAATGGTGTTATCCTGGTATTATTCTGGTGATATTTCTGTTTTATTTCGGTGTTATTGCGGTGTTATTGGATGTGTAATGTTATAGTTTTATTGAAGTGGGAATGTGATGTTATTGCGACACTTCTCTGGTGTTCTTCTTGTGTTATTGTAGTGCTTTTTTAGTGTCATTCCCATGATATTGTGGTGTTATTCTGACATTGTGATTATTAAGGTCCTAGTGGAATGTCTTGGTTTTATATAGATTTTTGTATTTGATTGGTATTTTTTTCATATATAATCAAGTTTTGTATATTTTATGAATTTGCAGTTCCCCAAGCATGAAATTATTTGCAATGATCCAATTGCAGATAGTTCTCTTCGAACAATTGTCCACAATGAGAAGGAAACATATGAACAATATTGTGCCTATGCACAACATATTAGAGTTACTATTCAAGAGGACCACCGTAGTTTCTGGCCGAATTCGAAGAAGATTAAGGGCCCGTTTGGGACAGAGTATCGGTGCGGCAACGTTTTGAAAATGCTGCCTAAGCGTTTGTTTCTCACGTTCGGGGTGCGTTAATGGAAACACCGTTTCTTATTTTACATTACACGTGGATCACGGGTCTATCCCCGCGATCCGCATTCGGCCTCCTAGGTTTTACCCCATTGCCCTCGTGAATCAGTTCCGCATTAGAGGCTTTCCTCTTGTATTCGAAGGCTTTCTTGAGGGACTTTCCTCTTGGATTCAAAGGCTTATCTCCTGCATCCCGCTTCCTCGCACGAATTCGTTCGACAGGTAAGGATCCATTTTTTTTCCTCCCTTCCCCAACTCGACGAGAAAGCTCTAGACGATCCATCTGTTGAAATTTTCGGTGAATGTGGAGGTATTTAGTGGCTAAAAGCCTAGATCTAGTTGTTGGCAGCTTTCCCTCTCTGTTACATTTCTGGAATATGAAGAATGGAGATTTTGATCTGTTTTAACAGTGTTCCATATGCTTGATCTCTGTTTTTAACTTATGATATGCTTGATATATGATTTTGGTGAATGTGGGGGATTTCATTTTGTTGTTGTGGCTATTAAAAATGTGATATGGCAAGAAGTATAAGAAATCTTTATGTCGATCTATATGCAGTCTCATATGACAAGATCTATATGCAGTCTTTATCATTTGTTCACTGAGCATATGGGTTCCCTTAGCCTCCTCTAGGTATGTATATTTGAGAAATTAATTTTCTTTTGAACTTCCATTTGTAACAAACATCACGTAATAGGTAAGTATTATTTGGTCGACGCCGGATATCCCTTACAAAGGAGGTTTCTTAAGCCGTATCCAGATACAAAGTATCATATCCCAGATTTTGGAAGGTCAAGCGGTGTAACACGTTGGAAGAAAAAAATATTCAATAAAAGACATTCATCATTGCGAGACATAATCGAGCGATCATTTGGAGTGTGGAAGAAGAAATGGATTATATTGCGTGATATGCCAACTTATCCATTTCCGAAGCAGGTCCAGATAATAATGGCCACCATGACACTACATAACTTTATTAGGAGGCATCCTTCAAGAATTGATGCATAATTTGTCGTGGTTGATGCAGATTTACAGCAAATTTCCCTCGAAGCATTCGAGTACCATGTGGGCCGCACCATACCATAGCTTGAAATGGATTCACTTGAAACAAACACCAGAGATGGTGAAGGGGGCATCAGAAATGACAACTTTGAGAGATCGAATAGTAGACGACATTAGCGAAAGATGTTAAGTAATGTATTTTAAAGTTTGGCTAGACAGTTATGAATGATTCCTTATTTGAGGGTTTTCTGTAAGGATAATCTATTGGCAGTAAGCATTTTTTTTTATTAGTTCTGTTTGGTGGGATGATTATTATTATTGTTTGGTGGGTTAATTGCAGGGGGCAATTCTATATTCACCTGCTGTTACATAGCTATGTTTGGCATTTTTATGTTCACCTGTTTTAATATGGAAGACTTGAATGGTATTAGTATGAAAAGTGTTATGCTATTATGACATTATAATGAAAGGTGTTATTCTATTATGATATTATAGAGCATATTCTTTTTATCAGATCCTTGTAATTGAGTAGATCATTGCGGGTATTATTAGGTCATTGTTCTAATCTTATAAAAATATGGGTTCTTGCGTGGAAATCATTGTGGGTATCATCCTAGAAGTGGTATGTATTGCATGAGCCATTGTTGGTGATGATATTATGATGAAGATGAATATATGTTGCACTTCAAAGTATCATATATGCAGAGTGAGATTTATCTGGAATCCATTGTTGGTGAAGAATTTATGATGGACAA